GAGGAGAGAGAGACCTCCCAATGCCACTGCCAGCAGCAGGTGTTTCTCCGGGTGGTGCACATCCGCACAGGTCTTGGTGCACACAACAAAATTTATTCCACACATGGACGGAAAAAGTGAGAGGAGGTGCGTTGTCTGCAGCTCCCGCCTCCTACAGCCTAGAAGTGCTGTGAAAGTGCCCACCCAGCGAGGTTTTCGTGTCCATTGGCGAGACCTCCCAATGCCACTGCCAGCAGCAGGTGTTTCTCCGGGTGGTGCACATCCGCACAGGTCTTGGTGCACACAACAAAATTTATTCCACACATGGACGGAAAAAGTGAGAGGAGGTGCGTTGTCTGCAGCTCCCGCCTCCTACAGCCTAGAAGTGCTGTGAAAGTGCCCACCCAGCGAGGTTTTCGTGTCCATTGGCGGTGCACATTCACTCCGGCCTCGGTGCACGGCACAACATTATTCCGCACAGGGCTGGGAACCATTCGCCGGCGCAGCGGTGGCGACGTCCATGGAGTTAAATGGCCTGTTTACTCAGGTGCAGGATGCCTGGGGGAAAGCATTGTTCCAGGCAAACAATCTCTCCACCCCACCCCCAGCCCCGCTCCGGGACTCGGTGACCTGCGGCCATTGGCTCAAACCGATTTATCGTGGGTCTGGGACGGGGGGTGGGGTGCTCTGGTGAGACGACAGCAGAGACGGCAGACAGGCTGACGTCTGCTTAGCCGGACGGCGCCCGGGAAGCCATCCCCCTGCCCCCGAAATCGCAACCGTGTTGGACTTTTTGGCAGAAAAGGTGCGTCGCTTTTCTTCTTCCTAGGCGGGGTCCCCGGCTAATGCCTGCTGAGCACGAGAGTCCCCCTCCGACGCCAGGGTGAGGGGCACACGGGGCCGTCTGGTCTGGGGTCGGTGCCCCAAAGCAAAGCGCGGCTAAGGATCTCCCCAAACGAGGGGATTAGGCACCGAAAGGGCAAATGATATTTAAAGTGAATAATGATAAAAGTCATGCCTATTAGAAACAATAACCCCAATGAGACGTACAATACGGCGGGGGCTAATTTAGCGACCACTAATCAGGAAAGCGATCTTGGCGTCATGCTGGCGAGTTCTCAGAAAACTTCCCCTCCCTGCTCAGCGGCCGTCAAAAAAGCAAACAGCCCGCGAGGAATCGTTAAAAAAGGGAGGCTTATCAGCTTAGAAAAGAGGAGACAGGTCTAGGATATCAGGGTGGATGTGGAAAAGGGGACTGAAGAAAAGGTATGTACTTGGTCCCGCACTATAAGGACGAGGGGGCGCCCAATGAAATGAACGGGCAGCGGGTTTAAAACAAGCCAAAGGAAGCGCTTCGTCACGCGGCGGCAGCAGTTAACCCGTGGAACTCCTCGCCGCAGGATGTGGTGACGGCCAGGACGTGCGCAGGCTTAGCTAGCATGCTCCTCGTGAGCCTGCGGAGCTCAACGGGTAACGTAGGGGAATCGTCGGACTCTGGGAACGCTATGGGTGGGAGAGGCCAAGGGCCGGAGTTTCTGGGCAGCCTGGGGGAGACTCGTGAGGGGGCCCCCCCGCACTCACCAGCAGCAGTGGGGAGAAGCAGAGCAGTACGGCCCCTCTCCCCAGCTCCCAGATAGCTCAGGGAAAGGCCCCCCCATCCCCCCCAGGAAGCAGATCCTCGTGGCTGGGAGGCGGGGGAGCGACTATGGGTGGGAGAGGCCAAGGGCCGGAGTTTCTGGGCAGCCTGGGGGAGACTCGTGAGGGGGCCCCCCCGCACTCACCAGCAGCAGTGGGGAGAAGCAGAGCAGTACGGCCCCTCTCCCCAGCTCCCAGATAGCTCAGGGAAAGGCCCCCCCATCCCCCCCAGGAAGCAGATCCTCGTGGCTGGGAGGCGGGGGAGCGAAGCCGTGTGGTTCCACTGGCCCCCACTGCTGCTGGTGAGCGTGAGGGGCCCAG